CCGCCGGTGGGTGCACAGCGGCGTTTCGCTGTGGCCGTGCAGGCGTTTCTTTCGAGCCGTAAATGTGAGATCTCCTCCTGGTATTTCTAGGGGTGTGCTTGCGTGGGGAGGAGAAAGGTGGTACCCGTTTCACGGAAGCTCCTGACCACTCGCCAACATGGTAGTTTTCACGTGCAATGCGTGTGGAGAATCTGTGAAGAAAGCGCAAGTGGAGAAACACGTGAACATCTGCAGAAACTGTCAGTGCCTTTCTTGCATGGATTGTTGAGATCTCCTCCTGGTATTTCTAGGGGTGTGCTTGCGTGGGGAGGAGAAAGGTGGTACCCGTTTCACGGAAGCTCCTGACCACTCGCCAACATGGTAGTTTTCACGTGCAATGCGTGTGGAGAATCTGTGAAGAAAGCGCAAGTGGAGAAACACGTGAACATCTGCAGAAACTGTCAGTGCCTTTCTTGCATGGATTGTGGCAAGGATTTCTGGTAGGTGAAGGATGGGAAATAGCCTTGCTCCTCTGCAGTCGTCGTCACAAACACAGGATTTGCCTGTGGTGTATTCGAATTAAAGCTGGCAATTTCTGAGTAATTCATATTCGTATTTAAAATTGGTACATGTTTTTATATAATTTCAAGCTCAGTCGTCCAAGTTTGAACCACAAGGACGACTAAAGCATACAGTAAACAGAGTTGCAGTTTCTTCTTTTACAGTTACAAGTGAAGTGCTTTCAGCTTCTGATCATCAACAGCTGCTACCTATTCTGCTGCTGCAGAGAGACTGAGATTGGCAATAACATCAAAAATCCGAATTTAGCTGTCACTTCTCAGAACTCGGAAGAAAGCAGTGCTGCTATCTGCTTTCAAAATATAAATATGTGAATTTGCATAAGAAAATAAGAGTGCCCTCAAGTAATGTTTGTATTTCTCGGTATTTCACTGACAAAAGATTAGGATCTATGTTATTCATTCCTTTTTGGGTGCACTTGCACATTGGTCAGAACTACGCTATCACATTAATATGTCTCTATTTACGAATTGGATTTTTGCAAGCATTTTTCACCTGCTTTTCTAATTTTAAAACATGCCAATGTGAGTAGTAAATCACAAATATGCATTAATAGCTGTGCATATGTTACATGTACAAATGTGCGTAAGTTATAGAGTCACTAATAAAAGCAGCAGTATACTGAAGACAGATCTGATTTTGAAAATCAGAAATTTTCACTGAAGGCTGTAGCATGACAGAAATGTCAGCGTGTACTTTAAGCACGTCAAACTTTACTTTTGTAAGCATTGGCAGTATTAAGGTTTAAATGTTAGATGCTATCTGTTACGTCAGTTGTCAATTACATATGTCTTGCATAGTTTGAAGGACTGAAACATTTTAGTGAACTACAGTTAAAAATCTCCTATGTTCAGGGGTGACGATTATAAGGAACATGTGAAGTGTGTAAGCGAAGACCAGAAATACGGTGGAAAAGATTTTGAAGCCAAAACTAATAAAGGAGATGCTAAACAACAGGAGTGGATTCAGGTGAGGCTTGTGCTATATGCAGGTACGATAAATAGCTATTGTTTGTAATAGTTAAAGACACAAGAGAGGCTATAGAGGATCAAACCAGAGATCTATTTTTCCAAATATCCACAGCTTTCTTTTTGCCGTTCCTTGGTAGGTCTGTTGCTTATCCTGGTAAGAAATGCACCTTTTGTTTGTTTTGAATCTCTCTCGTACTAGTTCGATTTAATGTTCCCTAGCTCTTGCATACAAAGAGGCATTGGTCGTCATCCACCCTCTTCATGCCATGTACGCTTTTGTAGACCTCTGTCAAGGCATCCCTCCCCATCTCATCATCTCTCTCCCAGGCTGAGAAGTCCTACCCTCAGTTGTTCTTCGTATGTAAATTATATCTTTGGTCCTCTGAAGTCTTCCCAGTTCCACTGTATCCTTGTGAAATGAGGTCACAAGAACTACATACACCGGTCAAGATATGGAGATATGGATGAACCGTAGATTTGCTTTGTGTCATAATGACGTTTTCTGTGTCCTTCTTCATTCCTTTCTTAGTGATTTTTGTCAGTTGATCTTTTTTATTTGACTGCCGCTGATCATTGTGCTGGCATTTTCATGGAATTGGCTATTTTAAGCTCCAGTGATCAACTTAAAGCCTGCCGTTCCAGCTGTGAAGTTAGGATTGTTTTTCTATGCATGGTGGTTTGCATAAATTTGTGTTGAATTTAATTCATGTTTTTATTACCTCATCACTTATTCTCTTAAGATCTTTCTGGAATTCTTTGCAGTCCTCATTCTGAATAGCTTCATATCATCAGGAAAATTTTCCCACCCTCTTTTCAGATATTTTGTAAATACGTTGAACAGCAGAGCGTGCAGCATGGATCACAGGAAATTTCTCCTGCCCTTTCTGTCCTACCCTTCAGGTAGTTATTTATCCTATGCAAGAACCTACCCTCTTATGGCTGTTTCCTTTAAAGGTTTTAGGAAGGAACTCTCAAACACATTTTTAAGACCACATTAGATATAATTAATTAGATCACCTCTATCTACAGATGTGTGGATTTCTATCATCTAGAACACAGTCTAGCAAAGTAGTAAGCTACATGCATACTGAAGGCATATGAATAATACTGTTGTAGTCAACAGATTAACGCCATTGTTGAGACCAAACATTGTTTGAGTACATTGTTCAAAGGCAGTATGATGTGAATGCTATCGGTTATGAAAATTGTTAGCCTGCCTCAATAGTACTTTTTACACAGAAAAGCGAGGGACTATTACAGAGCATCCTTTTCTGGTTGCCTTAACACATCCACAGAACCTTTCAATAAACAGATTTTCAGAAGTACAGGAAGGCTGTCCAGTGGCTACGTCTTTAAATAATGGGCAGCTCAGAGCCTTTTTTCCCCCACAAGCAGCAGTGCTGTTCAGGTAGCTGCCACAAGGCCCTGGCCTAACCTCCTGTGTTCTCTTGTGCTGGCACCCATAGCATAGGAATATGCTTGAGCTGTCTTACAGGGATTAATGGCTGTTGAAGCTGGCACTGCTGCCAAAAGAAACGCATGTCAGACTGTGGCCTCAAAGTTAGCCTGATGCTTCACAATTAACTCCAGAAGTTTGCAAAAACCGATCAGTTGGCAATTGCTTTTCTTAATGCAGGTCTTTTTACACTGCAAGAATCCCCTACGTGATAGAGTTACTTTATTTTTAAATGTTTTTATTACAGGTTATAACTTGTACATCAGAAAGCCTTGGTGAGCAATCCTGCTTGCCTCTGCTTACTATATAGGTATAAATATTTATATTGATAACTTTGACGCATCTTACGATCTATGGTGAAACCAAAGGTTTGTGGTTTTCCCATGCATACTGAACGGTTCTTTCAGGCAGGCTATACAGTCTGGGTACTGGGTGGTTTCTGTCCAATGTGTTTCCAACTTGCATACCTTGCATGTATCATTTGGTCATTATGCTTCTTTGCTGATTTAATTCTGATTTTCTTCATTCAGAAAATTCATGAAGTAATGAAGAAGCCAAACATAAGCCCTAAAGTGCGGAACATTCTGGAGCAAATGCGTGTCTTTGATAATATTCCAAGAAAAAAAGGAAAGTTTCAGGTATGTTTTAATAGAGATTTGTAGTCATCCATGCAGTGAGCTTAAAAATAGACTTTCTTAGTGGTGAGTGTCATTCTCTTCTAACAAAGGTGGGACAAATTGCTCTTTTGGGCATTGGTAAATAGATATGGTGTAATAGCTGAGTTTCAAATAAGCCATGTTTGTAAAATAAATCTCCTTTCTTAAAAGGATGCTCCGTGTGCCGTTTTAATTGGGTATTAAGCCAGAGGCTCACCATTCAAGCTTGATCTCCATGTGTAGGCTTGTTCTTTTTTAAATACCTTTCTTTTTTTCTGCTTACAATTTCTATTGAATGTCCAAATTCTTAGACGTACTTTTAAAGGATTCTTATTTCTGTGGCTTTGTTTTTTTCCTGGTAAAGGCAAGATACTGTTTTCAGAGTTTTCGTATTGCTCAGTATTCTGACAGTATCTCCTACACTGCATGCTTCAGTAAACTTTGCATCACAGCCAAAGCAAATTCCAAATATTTCACATGGTATCAATAAAGAATTGCTGACAAACTGGCCTTATTTTCCCCCCTCTCTGTTCTGGGCCTCAGAATGTGAGGCTGAGAGAAGATGATGATTGCTTCCAAAGCATTCAGGTGCAACCTAGTAGAGCTGCAGTGAAATTGCTGCTAGTGAGCTGAATGTTAGAATACTTTTCTATGAAATCGATGTTCGAAGTAGGGGAAGTGATATTGTCAAGAAGCCTTTTTCTTTTGGTAAGATATGTTGCAGTGGAAGATCAAAAGTTTTTACAGTTCATTGTTCCAATTTACTAAGGCAGCTTTCCTGGAATCTTAATTGCAATGCAAAAGTCTTTACGTTAGGTTTTACTTAGAATTCCTCATTCCTGAAAGCTGATCTGTTGCTGATGGTGTGAGCATATTGTAAGTTGAAATTTACTGCTTTTTTTTCATATTCAGCTGGAAGTCCTGACATAGCCCCAAAAACTTTCAAGTGTTTGCATTGAGATAATTGCTTAAATTTTAGTTTTCCGTAAGGTATCCATTTAGGAGCATGACCATCTTTCCAGTACACAGATAAATAAATAAGATCAGATCCTTAATGTTTTAACTCATGGGAACAGAAGATTTGGTAGAACATTGACATAACCAGCTGTATTGAAAAGCTTGCAGATTATCTTTTCTATGTATTTACTTCTTCTGGATTACTATTGGTGAGGCAATTGAGAGACATGCTATAGCCTCGTAACGGTACGTAGGCATTGTGCAAAACAATTTAGCATGGAAGTCTAAGAGATTCATAGAGACTAAACATCTAACCAGATCTTAATCAGAAGAAATGATTAGATTCTTAAGCGAAAAACAAAAACAAGAACCAAATATATGGTAATCAATAAAAAAATGAGACATGCACCTTTTCATTTATTGTTGGTTTTTTTTCCTGCACAGAATTGGATGAAGAACAGTTTGAGAATTACCGACAGCACTTTGCAAGACCAAGTGTGGGATATTTTCTCTGAAGCAACCAGAAATGTAAGTTGAGCTAGAGGTTTCTGAATAGCCACATTAACGTTTCAGTAATTGTATTTCACTTGTAATTATTAAAATTAAAGTTTAATTTAAATATAAAAATGTTAATTAATATATTCATTCTTCTACAAGAAAATTATCATAAGCCCCGGAACATTAAAAGAAAACCAACTATGTTAAGGTGAGAAAAGTACAATTAAAACAACCAGCAGCACCTTTGTTGACATCACACAAGAATAGTTTGTTGTTCCAGAGGTGTCCCAAGACAGGGAACTGGATGGCAAAGCTAAGATTATTACACAAGGGCCGTATGCTTGGGAATAGGCTCTGTATCTTGCTGTAATATGCTGTATTTTTGTCTGCATAAATCAAAGAGTTGTCTCCCCTTAACTTAATTACATTGAGCAAATACATTAAAAAAACCCATAGACAATTATTTCAAATAGAAATAATATATGTTGTAAGATAACATTTCTTCTCTGATGCTAAGGTAATTAGCATTTAGGCTGTTAAGTTAAAAGAAGAATCAGCCACACTGTTTAGTGCTGTTTCTCAGGTAACTGGTGTCAACCACGTGAAAGCAATTTAATTGAATTCAGGATATTAGTGTTCTTCAGGAATGATGTAGTAGAAAAATGTTGCAATGTCAAAAAAAGCATGTAAAAATTGTAATAATCTGACTTTCAACAAAAGATTTCAAGTGAAAAAGAACAAGACAAACCACAACAGAAGGAAGAGGGGCAGTCTGCAGAAACTGTGGAAAAAACAAAGGGAGAAGAAAATGGAATTACGGATGATAAAATGGAGAGGAAAAAGAATAAAAGAGAACGAAAAGAAGAGAGGCAAAAGAACAAAAAGAAGGAGAAAAAAGACTTGAAATTAGAAAACCAGTCAGAAGTAAAAAAGAGTAAAAAGTCCAAAAAAGGAAAGGAGAGCTTGGAGAATGAATTTGAAATAAATGGAAATGGCCATCAGAGTGAAATAGAAGAGGAAACAAATGTAAAGAAGCGCAAACATAAACATGCAGAAGGTATCCATCCGACCCCTCATATTCTTGTTTGTTTTTGAGATGCTTTTTCTCAGTGCCTTAGAGCTCAATAATCTACTTTAGTAGAATTTTTTAAGTAGCAAATTACATATCCAAATTAGATTATTTTTTTAACACCATGGTTGCACAGTCCTTTTATAAAATCTGAGCTTCTTAGCAAATACAAATTGATGTTACAAAACCAGAAACTTTAAGTCACATCAGAGCTTTTCTTCTAGATTTATAATTTTTTGTGTATGTTTATGCAATTCCATCTCTAGAGGAACCTCATATCACAACAAAGAGAATGAAAACTGAAAACACTTCAGAAGACATGGAAACAGAAAACGCCAATGGCAATGAAGAAAACGTGGGAACAGATAAAGGTATTCCTAAGGGGGGAGTTTACATAGTTACAGAGGTATCCTGCGAAAGACCTAGTGCAGAATATAAAACAGTGCTTTTGCAGGAAGCCATGAAATACATTGTGCCTCAGTATACACTTACACATGTATATTCAGTATACATATCTGTTCCAGAGCAAGTAGCCTGTGCTACGCTTAACACCCGATGCTGAATTACTTCTCATTTGTTGCTTCTGCTGTGCTGGCAACCTTTGGCTACACTTGCTTTCACTGGGCAGTGAGGAGTTTGGCACGTTTGTGCTGTGCACATTATCCAGCATAGAGGAAAAAGGGTAACAGCTCTCTCATCTCTTTGTATCTCTTACATCCCCGTTTTTGCTCAGTGAATGATAAATTGGACTTCAGCTGTGTTTGACCTTAGTTTATGCTTAGATAAACCTACTTACGCCTGTCACCCAACACACTGTTACTGTTGGGGAATGTCTGTACTCGAACATACGGATTGTTTATTTGGAAACTACCACTTAATGACCTCTGAAGTGGGTACCATGTGAGATTCACTACCTGTGCTCTAAGGGTGAGCAGACAGCATCTTCCCAGCTATTCCTGTATTATGTAAGAGTTGCTGCGTAACAGCTGAAGCACAGAAGTTCAGTAAAAGCAATCCCGACCCTAGCTGTTTGTGTAGCATGTTGGTGTTTCGTGTCTATCTGTCGTGGTTTAACCCCGCTGGCAACTCAGCACCACGCAGCCGCTCGCTCACTCCCCCCTCCCTCAGGGGGATGGGGGAGAGAATCGGAAAGAAAATAAAAGGTTAGAGCCAAGGGCTGAGATAAAGACAGTTTAATAAGAGAAAAT